ACATCATGGGAATAAGTTGCGTGCGAAGAGAAGCTTCGATCGGAATTACGGAAGCATTTGGAGAACGAATAGAAATAAGTACAGGGACGATAATATTTTTCAAGTTCCCCGGAGAGCATCGTTTGACGATGACATGACGTTCAAAAGGGACGTCGATTTTGAGGACGTTGACACATTCCCAAATCGGTATCGAAATACTCTCGTTAACATATTCTAAATATAATTAGAGTAAACATTTTAAGGGTTCCACGTTTAATGACTGATCTTGATATATGTTCTCGAAAACATGACTTGGAGTAACTTTTTTCTATACATGATCAAAGGGTCAGTTCCTATAACATACTTAAAAACGATTGCAATCAGCGAGGGAACAACTTTTGAAAATACAAGAGTACATACTATTAGATATATGTATATAGTACTATCAGCGATATATACAATATATTCTTGAAAATACATAGGAAATTAAAATCGAGAGAGGAATACATGTATAAGGAAAAGTTGCTCAGAACGTCGTCTTCGACAACGTATTTCGAGATCCAGATTATTGATGGAGGTGGATCCCCTAAACCCTATAATTATCGCTATTAATTCCATTTTCAACTGCCTTATTACCTTCATTTCGTAGATTCCATAAAAATGAAATGTTTTACGACAAGGGACCAGGAAACAATCAGATTCCCAAGGAATGGATTAAAACGAAGGATCTTTGTTCTTTAAGCGATTGGTTGAACTCGGACAAGAATCCCGAAATCGAACTGGACAAATCGGGGGATCAATGGATTCAATACCAATCCGGTCAAAAGAATATGCCGAGTATGATTTAATTTCGAATCGTTAATACATATTTAATTTTGTAGAGGAGTTTCGTGACTCATAGTAGAAAATTAAACAGATTCCTTGGACTTGGACAAAGAAGCGAGCTTAAAGACGGATGCCAGACTAAACGTGAGAAATCAACGAGATGAAACGAAGAAGGCGGCTACGCCGTCGCTGGAATCTCTCAAGGAGACGATATTAGAATTGAAAAAAAATCTGAACGAAGCCGATAGAAAGCGACGTGTGAATTTCAAAAGCACGGACTCGTCGAAAGTCAGTGAGAAAGGGAACGATAATCAGGAAGAGAGAGAACGGAAAACGCGTACAAAAGATAACCACAAGAAAAACGAGGACGACGGCGTTCTCACTCAAGGTTTTTAATTCCATAAACTCGTGTGAAAAATTGTTGTTAACTTGGGGGTTTTTTAATCTTCCTCAGCAAGCTCTGATTTACGGGGAGGAGACCGAGATGCCGAAAGGTTCGACTTGAGAAAGCGTGAACAAGTCTCGAAGGAGCTCGAGGATAAGAATGCTCATCCGAAAGTGCGGAGGACGAAAAGGACCAAAGCTAATAAGGACGATGGTAACCCGAAACTCTTTCACAGAGCGGGGTTTGGAGCGTCGTACCTTGAAGAGAGCGCTTTAAAGGAGCTCCATGATCGCAGAAGACGTAGCAAAGGGACGCCAACAGATGAAAAACGTCATGCAGACGAAGATGGGAGCAACTCAGGAGCTGACGAGAAAAATCCGATAACTATATTAAAAGCGAACGATGACAACGATGCAACTATTTCGGAGAAAAAGGAATTGAACAATTTGCAAGAGGCCAACAGTTTCGAACAAGCGAGCAAACCAACCGGAGATAGGGAGGATGCCGCGAATTCCAGGACCTCGAACGCGGAGAAGACAGATTGTCAAAAACCAGAAACGGCTAAGAATAACGTACAATTGGATGTATCGCGTGAAAATCTGAATGCGATGGAAAACAGGTTGATGAGGAACGAGGAGAAGGGTGAAAGTCTCCGGGGAAATTCTTTGCGAACCTTCGAATCCGTGACGAATGAATTGCAGCCTGTTTCTCCTCCCAACGAAATCTCGAGTCTCGGCGCAGACCGTAGAGAGGAGAGTAGCAAGGAAACCAGAATGCAGAAAACGGAAGAGAATCGAGAGAATGTCGGCTTGGCTAAAGGAGAACAGGTGATCAAAGTCTTTGAACCTCAGGGGCGTCTGTATCAAAACAGTGAACGCACAAAAGAAGTCAGAGGAACCGAGCCAGAAAACGAACAAGGAATATTATCTCAGCGACCGACCGAAGACAAAAGGTCACCGAATGATTCGGGAAACATGAATATCCTCGTCAAGTCGGAGAACAGAAATGTGATCAAGTTCAGCAATGATTGTACCAACGATAAGTCGGGAAATCGGCCGTCGTCGTGTATGTTGAACGTGTTCGATATGAAGAAGAAAATGATTCTGGAGCACGATGATAATCCTAGTAAAACAATCTCCACTCTCTTCGACGTGAAGTATGAGAAAGCGCAGATCGACGAACCCGTCAAATCTACCAACAAACGAGAGGAAAACCTAGGGAACGATGACGTCCCGTTTGGTAATGGAGTTTTCGATTTTGAAAGGAGCAAAGATAAGGAAGTGCCGTACGAGGACACGCCCGCGTCTACGAACGACGTGAAGCAAAGAAACGCCGATGAAAAACGACTCGAGAACTCCGCGGAGTTGAACAAAGGCTCGGAACAAAGCGGTGTCAATGATAAAGGAAGTCAAAACTGGTTCGAGAACGCGATTCGTAATCAAATGGATATGACCGTCGATCAGGGTGCAGCAGAGAAGCCTAATGAAATAGGTGAGAAGGAGAAACCCACGAGTGAGGAAGAACGGCTTGGCGATTACAAAGAAAACGCGGATTCGAATAATAAAATAGAATTAAAGGAGGCGAAAGACGAACCGCAGACTAAGAAAAGGTATCACGAAATATTTATAGTGCCTAGTGGAATGGATGATCGGATAATCAGCGATAAATACAGTCAAAGAAGAATACTCCAATACATGGAATATTCTAATGACGATGTCGAAGATGTTGATATAAATTACAATAATAAAGAAGAGGACGGCCAGCAGCAAGTAAATGAAGGTAAGTAATAAAAATTCTTTATAACGAGAATGAATAGAAATATTTGCATATTAATTAGGTTTAGATAAGAACGACGTGTCAGTACGAAGGAAAGAGCGATCGTCAGTGGATAGCGATACCAAAAGCAGAGGAAAAGTGAATATCATGATACAAGACAAACTGCAGAAAAAGAAAAATCCCAGCCGTAATCGAAAAAGACGAAATCCAAGCGTGATCGAGTATTACGATTACGATAGCGACATGGAACAGGAAGCACTGTCCCCGACAAGCGAGCAAGAACGAATTAAAAATAATTATCAAGACAAGAACGTCAATTCCGATGCGGGACTTGGTAATCATGAGTGCACTTCACCATCCTCGAAAACCTAACGTCAAAACTGCTAAGATCTCACGTAGTAAAGTTTCATCAGATTTTGTATCGCAATTCGTTCCGAGTTACCATTCGAATATCCCGTTGTTAAACGAATTGTACATGAGTACGTGTTTCAATCATAGTGGAGTACGAGAAGAGCGGTCAAACTTGTCCACCAACCGTTCCGAAGTCGAACGAGCAAGAAGAGGCAATGAAGAAGGAAGAAGAGCTGAAGGCCAAGTATAAAATGCCGAAAGAGCAATTCCTCAGCCCCGCTGCTGAAATGCATGAATCCAAGAACAAAACTGGAAAATCTGGTAGCGGGTCGTCGCTGGCGTCGATGTCGTCGATGACAAGCGTTAAATACACTGATGAGGAAGAGTCGACCGGCAACCAACAACCGGGATCCAGGTGAAGATATCGTGAACGGCATTATTCGCGGATGGTCAGCGGTAAATTCTCGAACAGGACAATCAAATTTTCCTAATCAAACGACACTGACCTACGTGATAGCGACTACGTTGGATTTCTCAATCTTCAAACTGACTGGGCTGTGTCAACAGGCTAGACGAACCGATCGAAGTGAACGAGGACAAGTTTTTAGACAGCGATTCAAAGTACATTGTACTTAATCCAGCAAAGTATATTCTGAAGGAGGAAAAAGGTTTAGATCCTAGTGGAATCGACGATTTTCTAGAGGACGTTCAATCGGTGGATGAAAAGTATGCAACATTTCTTTTACTATTCTGTATTTGAAAAGAAAAAAAAAAAACACAATTTGAATATGCCTTCGGTAGGAAGGAAAAGATACCGAGCAGTATGGAACCGTGGTATGAAGAACTAAAGAAAATATACGATTGGAGCGAGGACGAAACGAAAGTTAAGCCCCGAATTAAAGGAGATCAGAGAATGTATTATGGAGCCAATGATAAATTAGAATCGAACGATAGGACGCCCGAGCCGTTAAAAGATCTAGCCGAACTTCCAACAAGCCATCGTGAAACTGGTAATTTCGAATTAATTTTCCTCGAGATCGGCTCGATCTTCCCATCGACTGCGATCATCACCGTTCAGCTTCTATCCTCGATTTATTGCCACTTTTATTCATTTACAATGGATCAGGAAGACCCGAAATCGCTGAGAGGAACAATCCTGTCGCAGCTGCGTCATCCGGCTGGTACGAAAATGCGGCCACGAGCAACGTTTCCCATAGTAATTATTTCGCTCTTAAAAGCACGGACGATATGTTTAAAGGCGGGTCGGAGCAGAGTAACAGCACCGGAGAAAAATTACGAGGACCGAGCGCTATCGGAACCGCCGCTGAATGGCAAACACAAAAGGTAAACTGAAGAAAAAAAAAAAAAGAAAGAACCTTAAGTATTTCCAATAAATTATTGCCCTGACTTACTTTCTTTTCGCTCTATAAACCTTGAATCGCAGGTGAACGGAGTGAGGAACGGCGCGGCCCCAGAGAAAGATGCCGCGGGCTGGTCATTAACGAATCGTGGGCAATATATTGACACAGATTCGCGTTCTCCTTACGAAAACCGTAAATATCTGGAATCGCAGTTTCCACGTAGTCGGGAACACGTTCAAAATATAGATAGCGAGAAGCAGATACTTATTAGTTCGGGGGACTTGCACGAGTCCTTTGTGGAACCCGTGGAATGGATCGACGACTTTGACAGGGACATACGAGTGAGACTCAGCAGAAGTTTGAAAACCATTGAAACTAGTTCAGCCGCGTACGCCGAATCAAACACAATCAGACAAGATAAAAATGTAATCAATAGTTCTATCGATACTGTTTGTAACGCAACTTCAAGATCCGAAGAGTCGAAAGTTGATGTCGCCACGCAAACTTCTGCGGGCGTGCAACAACTGCTTGAAAACGATGTCAGAGTTAAGAGAGATGCCGCGTTTCGTTATAACGCCTTCTACGACGACGTGAATCAGCGTAATCGTGATCTTCAAAACATGGATTATACTCGGTATTTAAGAAACAATAAAATGAACAATAATCCACGGTTTTCGGACTCGTACGAAGACATGGAACAACTTTCTAACAATCAAAAACTTTCTTACTCGAACCAACTGCCGGACGATTACTACTTGGACGACGCTGATGATGATTATGAAAAGGTTGCTAGGAGTCCAGTTCCGAAAAAGAAAAAGCACGACAAGAAGAAGGTACAAAAGAAAAAGAGAAAAGGTCATACCAGAGAATCAAGTAAAAGCCGTAGAAAACGGAGACATCATAAAAAGCATTCCAACGATTCTAAAACAAAAAATCACGAAAAAAAGCATAAGAAGAATGCGTCCAAGAGCACAAGCCATCACACTAACGTTAAAAAAAGCAAAGCTGGTTCAAGCGAGGAGAAAGCTCATAAAGAAAGAAAAGCACATCATGAGAAAGTAAAGAAGAAGGATGTAAGTGATCAAACCATGCTCTGTTTGACGCATAACAAGTATGATGATACTTAGTAGTATTATAACTTAATTTAAGAAAAAGCTCGACGATAATGTTTCAGACGAGCGTGGACAGAGATAGTCAGAGAAGAGGAATCTCCTCGCTTCTAATAGCTGATAACGTGGAGGATGAATCACAGATGGATTCAGCTCTTCATGGTGAACTTGCTGGGAGGATCGTCGAACACATTTTCGACCAGGTATAATACAATAACTATATAAAATATTCGGGCATTTATGTATGCGCTCAAATACTTTCCGCAACTACTATAGGTTCCAAAATCTCTCTTCGAGAGTAATATAAACAGTAATTTAAATAAAATTGCCAGGTGCAGAAAAATGATGCTTTAAAAGTATCGCTGGGCCCAGGTCTTTATCAAAAGCACAAAACTAGAGACACCGTGGAGGCCGAAAAATCGTTCAGTCAGAGCATGGCCAATGATGAAGTACGTCGTAAAACCTCTTCTAATCTGACGAATTCGTTTGACATTACAATGAAAACTTTGATTCAATAGATCAAGCACACGGAAGAACTGTTGAATAAAATTATGCTCCTCTTGAATCGATTGATCTTTGACGAGGTACAGAGAAAGACTTGCATTTCTCTACCACCGGATTTACTGGAATTTTTGGATTGGATGCTGGATGTGAATCCACAAGAAAGATCGATGGGACAGGTATAAAATATTCAAGTCGCAGGTGCGGTAGAAAAATCATCACAAAATTTTTAAAAATATTGTCCGCATCAGCCACCGACGCTGCCGCTAATAAGCGCAGGAGTGGCGCAAACTATCCCGCAGGACAAATTCCTTTTTCAAAGCTACCCAGTTCAGGAAATGGAGGCAGAGGTCAACGAATTGTACGTAAAGATTCAGACAATACAAAAACTGATAAAGGAATACAGCACCCTGGAGGAAAAGGACAAGGCGAAGGTCGAGTCGATCCAGGATTATCTGGTTAGTTGCGAATTCCACTTGATCTACTCAAAAGTTTTACGGTTCTTACGTTTATTTCGTTTACTCGTTCAGGCGAAACAACTGGATTTGTTACTGGAGTACATCGAGTCGAAAGAAGAAGCGGAGAAAAAAGGGGAGTCTCCGTCGCCGAATGGAGAACCTAAGGTGAACGGTGGAAGCGTTCTTCAGGATCAAGTAGGAATGAGTAACACGAGTAATGGAAATTATTCAACGAACCCGGATACTTTTTCGACTTTAATGAACGTGCCGAACATCTTGAAACTGAACAATGGACACTTGCTCACAGCTGAAGGGCTTTTTCAAGAGAGTAAAACTCTTGTATTCATTCAGAGTTCGCAACGATTTTCTGACCCGACAGCGACTTTCCTCGCGTCTACAAAGATTTCCTGTATGTTTTAGACGGCATAGATGCGCCTCATAGAGGTCCGAGAATAATACGGAGCCTGGACAAGCACACAAAGCGTAATAAGAAGCGAAGAAAGCGTAAAAAACGGAAAAGGAAGCATGGTAAGCATCACAAAGATGCGACCATTGGCCAGTCACCGTACAAGGACACCGTGCAAAAAGCAGTGGGCCAGCGACAAAAGCGTGAATACTTGGACAATCTCTTTTGGGATTCTTCCGATTCCGGATACGAAGAGCCTTTAATTTATAATTTTATAGACGTAACAAACGTTGCGTCCAACGAAAACGATGACACGGCATTGAAGAAGTTGAAGGAAGGTGCTGTGGATAAAGGGAATAAAGAGTATGTACCATGTTCACGACACGTTATCAGTAAAATGTAGAATAACGCGTGTTTTTATGGTTATTTTTACACAAGTGCAGTGTTCAGCCTTTGAAGGAAAACGTAGCAAATGATTTAAAGAAAGATGAGAGTGGAACTGAAGGAGATGGATCAAAATCTTTGACCAAAACCCAGACTCAAGAACGGATCAACATTAATGAAGACGAAAGTAAATATTCTCTGCTTTGAAATCTTCGTAATAAACATTAATTATTTATTACTTTTTCATATGTTTATGCAACACCAGATGCATTCAGAGAGGAGGAGTCGATAACAGGGAAAAGCAGATTGGAAGATGAAATATTGTTGCTGAACAAACGGCAGGCATGGAGAAAGGAGAATGAACAAGAATTGGAGGAAGTGGCTTTCGGGGAGGATATGAGGAAGGCGACGGCAGACAAAGTGCTGTTCGAAAAATTGACTAAAATCGACAAGGAGAAGAGTGAATTAAATGCGACACGTACGCAGAATTGCACGCTGCGAGATTACGCTATAAACAATCGGAACAACAGTTGCAGTTTGTCGGACGAGGATAAACTGAGGATGCTCGAGGAGAAGATAAATGTTTATGCGGATAAGTGAAACGAAAAGCGTGACGCAAAGAGTGGAAGACGGTAGAGAAAGTTGCGAGAGCTGAAGAAGTTGGCAAGTTACGTGGTGGATGTATACTAACCAGCAATGAATCGCGGGACAAAGCGAACCGTTAAACAGGCGACATTAAAGAAGAGCTCGTTGTATGAAGAATAAACGACAAGGAAGATACATACATTACCATAGAGATTTCGCAATTACGTGAGAAATTTAAGTAAAACTTGTCGCAATACCGTAACGAGTTTCGTCGAGAAGTTTTTCGAAAGAGTTTCGCTTCAACTCGTAGAAGATGGGAAGATCAAACACAGCGGCAGAGACAAACGATTAACCGAGTATAGACGCGGCGGATCAAATATTACGCTGGCTAATTGCGAACACCGATAACGTCGAAATACAACCTAATTTTATAATTGTACATCGTATTTAGAATAAATTTTATCGATTACGCACACTTGTACTACGTTCATTGGGATGCCTGTCTCTGTATATGCCTGTATGCCTGTATCCTTGATCATTTTATCCATTCAACAATTTCATTTAATTATTTCACGCATTTCAGTCATGCGTGTATAAATAAAGCAATAAATGGAGTACAACAGTAGACATTTATAGGTAGAGTAATTGTATTTGCGATACAATACTGCGATACTGCGTAATATCGCAGCGGTACCGGCGGTAGGTTCGCGTCGTTGCTTGACAGCGGGCGTCTAAATAATTTCATCAGATACATCGATCGTCGATGAGCTTTATCGTAATTGACACATTCGCTCTATCTGGCCGACAGGCGAGCCTGTGAAACCTCGTAAATCGTCCTGTCGTTGTGATGAACTCGACGGGTCTCTCTAGTGTGTTTGCACGTGGGTACAACGTCCGTGATAATCTATGTACGAAAATTATCTAAAGCCCTGCGATTACTATCAACTAATTGCCCTGCGGGAACTGTGCAGTTTACCGAGCTTCTCTAAACGACTAATTTCCAATTTTCACTTTTCCGGCTATTTTCACCGTTTATTCGAGCGCAGAAGCTTTTACATGGAAAAAATGTTAGGAATATTATTACCGCGATAACGAAGGCACTCGGCACCGAATTTAAAAACTCTTGTACATACAGTAAAGTATCATTCTTGTGTAATCAGAAAGTTTAGTAATAGGACCGGCTAGTGTGCCTAATGCAATTACTTTAGTACAAATATTATAATTTCAGATTAGATACGTTATTATAAAAGATAAGGGCATAGAATCAATCAAGGTAGAGAATAAATTAGATGTATAAAAAATTCGAACATTCATTCCGATGAGTAAAATTTGTAAAACCCTTCCATAAACTAATGGGCACTATAAACTTTGCAACTTTATTAAACCTGGTAAGCGTATACGTCCAGTTTTATCACGGAAGTTCTTCTTAAGCAACGAGAAGGAATTAGTAACTTCGTAACGCGGAATGTAGGATACTTTGGCTGCGTGAAATTTTGTAACATTCATATGTTCGTTAGCCACGAGGAATAGACGTTGTTTCGATCATTTCTGCATCCATTTCAGACGAATAGAATCTCCCAAAACGTTTCATAACAAAAATTGGGACAATAAATGAAAAGTTCTATGCTTGTTTCAACGAGTCCATAGTATGTCTAGATCCGACGGCAAAACTGATTAAATCTCGGCAAGGAAAAAGAACGCTATTTCGTCGCGATAGCGCGCGCTCGTATCTTCTTGTCTCTTTCTCCCCGTCTCCAAAACTCACGGCAGAAAAAGGAAACAAGAAAAATATGCATTCTCTCGTCTCCCGGGGCACGAAATATCCGGAAAGTTTGCTCGTAAAGTAAGTTCACGCAGCGGAACTCCCCCGAGTCAATTAAAGAGCCGAAATCGGACGCGCTCGCTTATGCAGGCAAGGGCATGCCAGAATACGGAAAAGGGAAAGATCTAAACCGTGGTCGGTGAACGTTATTACTTATTCGACTCAAGGATTTTCAAGGGTGGCGGACACGCGGATTTATTTAGATATTCCAACGGTGAGCATCTGCTCGAGATTCGACTGGTTCTCGTCTGGCGCGCTTTTCCTCGTCGTTTTCGCTCTTCGTTCGACCCACATTAATATACACGGAGAACGGTGAGGCGCGGCAAAGGCGGTGTGGCATGCTGTATCTGCGACCGTAACCCCAGCTATTTTTACATAACATTAAGTTATTCGTGCAACGGGGTCCTGGTAACTCGCTCGCGTCGGGGTTGAATGGCTTGATGGGGGTTAAAACGCGGTAACGGAGACATAATACCAGACGCAGCTGAAGAAATCTCACCGATCTACCGAGGAACATTTACTTACAAACTGATGCTACCGAACCTCTTTCAAACATTCTGCTCTAATATGACTAATTACATTTATATTTCCGATTTGAATAAGTCAATGGATTCCCTAAAATAATTGCGACTGATCGAAAGGGTCCGTAACGTGAAGAGATTTTTTAATAACGCGTAGAACCGCGAAGCATTAATGCTCGCTAGCTTTTAGAACCGGCTGATACGATTTCATGCAAGACGAAGAATGGAAAAATGGGAAGAATGCGCAATCGTAAAAAAAAAATAAAGGAAGGAACATTCGTGATATTCGCGCTGCGATAAGTACACATTGTTCGACAGATTGCACCGCAACATTCGGAGCTATCGTCAGTCACGCTTTAACCACGATTTTTCGACGAGCGATTCCCGTCGACGACCTCAATTTAGTTTATCGATCGACGAGCGGAGTCGAACGCGAATCACGGGTCTCTTAATTGGAAAATGAATTCGACTACGGGGCACGATTATTCACGAGGGCACGACTGCCGGTGGCAACTAGTTTCGATACAAGCCCCGCGCGTATATGCCAATTGTTTCCAGATCCGGAATTGTCCCCGGGTTTGACAGGTTTTACGGTCATACTATTTAAGGAGCGATGTTTAGTAGCGCTTTAAATATCCGCTAGGCAAACACGAGCATTTAGCGAACGACAGATGAACGGAACGGTTTTGTATAAAAATTCAAATTCGTTCAAGGTATTTCTACAGATTATGAATTCACTGTTTCTCCACTTAAATTATTAATACCTACGCGTTTCTTAAGTGAATCGCGAATTTTGAAAAACAACTTCGTTTTATAATATCGATTTTCATCCGTCGAGAGAAAGAGCTCAAGTTAAGGAAAAATATAAGTAATGAGGCAGAACGAAGGGGAGGCAAAGGCAAGGAGTGAAAATCGCGGTGGAAAAATAGAAATGGGTGGTGGCCAGTCGTTGGGGTGGGGTCTGGCACGCACCCCCGAATGACAGATGGTATTTTCGCGTATCATGATCGCGGCTAGGATAGTTTCCTATATCGTGGAATATACAGCCCCGGCCTGGCATCGTCGACATGTCGATAGCAGGCCTTGCCGTGCGATACATCCACCGATATCCCCATACCATAGGTATCCGTGGACCATCCCCTTCGTTCGACCGCTAAATGGTCAAGCGGAGCACCCCCATGGTGCTCAATTATTGATACTTACCCCTCGTGCCGCCTCGCATTTTCCCGGCTGCATGTTCTCGATGCGTTATGTCCTTCGATCCTGTCCACGCAGATGCACCGTTCAACGGTCCAAGATGGATCAAGTCACCTGAAAAAATACAAACGCACACACATGTTTACTCGAAAGCTGCTATGATTTATACCGATGATGTGTTCATGAAAATACTCAAGGTTGGGTTTAAAATTGAACAGTCATGATTAAGAAAAAGATTGTTGTCGTTGATGAGGGTAGATCTTGATTAGGGCAAATAACTGGGGAAATGGTTTGTAGGTAGAACTGAAAGTTTCGAAAGTAACGCTAGTTTCAGAGTTCGTAAATCGAAATGAAGAGGGGAAGGGCTGAGAACCGCTGTTGATCGCAATGGCCTCGATTAACCGTTTGACCAGCTAGAGCGAGTGGTCGACGTTTTCCAGGCGCCCGGCTCGCCCTATTAGATCTGCAGGAAGCCTGGTACAGATATCCGGAAGTGGACGTACCGTTTCAATGTTTCTTTGCATCGAATTCTGGACGAAGCCGGTCTGTTCCATCGGACAAGATCGACACAAAAAAAAGGAGAGTACTGTCCGCTGATTAAAAGTTTTCTGCTCGACATCGTGAACGTTCCTTCGCTAAGTCCGTCCGATGTGAGATTAATCGTTGCTTCTTCGAGCGACCCCGTGGAAATCAAAAACCGATATCGGTGAAAAAGGAGGAAACAGGGGTAGACGAAGAAGAGGGAAGAAAAACGCAAACGAATTCACGAACCGCGGTGGCATTGAAAATATGATCTACCCCACGGTCTTTCCGTAAACTTTAAGACATTCGTCTATTCGAGGCTCGTTCGTCAAGCGAGTCGAGGAAAACGAAAAGAAAAGAGGCAGCCTCCATAAAGCGATCGGAGGAGACCCTCGCACCCTTCCATCCATAGACGCGAGTCGCGTCTCTCCTCTAAGTGTATTAGACTCGCGTTTCGGGTCGTGGAAGAAGCTGCAGAGGGGTGGGTGCAGGCCGGAGGACGGGTTCGAAGGGTGCGAGAGGGTGGTCCGAGGCCTGTACCCCGCTAATGGCACCCTCGGGGTATTCCCGGAGAACCCTCTCGTATTTATTATTTAGCGAGGATACCGATAGGAGGAAGTAAACCGGAGAAAGCGAGAGAAAAGGAGAAGAGAGACGGAGAGAGAAGGAACGACTGGCGCGAAGGTGAAATAGAGGAAAGGGCCTGCGGCAGAGGGTCAGCGCTGGCAGGCCACGAGGATTTATCCGCAAACATCACACATCGGCAGTAGACATCCGTTGAGCACGATTTCGAGAATGGAAACCACAGGAAATTAACGGTGACACGTGGCCGGGCTTGGACACGTGTTTTGGCCGCGTGCTAACGATGAAAAATACGTTATCGAATGAAATTTCCGATTGGACGTCGAAAAATATCTTGGACAGTTGGCTACGACGTATCATTGCTGTGTCGTGTTCAGTGTTCCCGTGTTAGTTTCGAAAAGTCATCGGAGTTCACCATTAAAACTGCGTTAGAATGGTGAAAATTCGGTCGAAAAAATCGGTCGTAGATACAATGAAATGGTATATTCCCGAAATCGAAAGATCGATTCGCCGATTACGCAGCGGCAAAACAACTGGAAAAAACTTCGCAACGGGACAAAAACAATCGAAGGGGTGGTAACGGATACCGAGGGCCGGGCGGGGGGGAATCAGGAAAATCGGAA